TTTGGGTCACTTTAAGCTTACCGTCCGCCGAACATCCGACCAATGGGCCTCATGCCCAGACCCAGAGCTTGTCGTCGTCGTCGTCTTCTCGTTCTTCGCCGTCATGTCCCGTTGCTTCCTGTAGCGTGTCTTGACGACGGTGATAACGGCACTGGCGACGATGGGGGCAGCGCAACTTTTTGCTACAACAGTGAAGCTTGAATGTCAAAGTCAAGGAATACTGGCGCCGTGGCATATGGCCACTCGAGCATGGGGATAGAAAAAGCGTGCTCTGCTGCATGTTCCACTCGCCTCGAGCCCCTCTCTTTCTCGAACCTTGCGCTGAGCGCGACAGGAAGCTCATTGCTACGCGATTGCTCTCGCGAGCGACTTCGCGCCATTGTCGGCCGTCAGGGGGCCGCCGCATTTGCGCGCGCGTTTCTTCAAATACAGCAATTCTGCGCGGTTTCTCCGGTTCGCCCCCCCGCAAACGCGACGGTTGGCGCCCTCGGTCACGCGGGCAGTGCGCTGGCATTTCTGGCGCAGAAAGAACGAACCTCAGCCGGTGACTTCGGCGCCTGCTTCGGGGGCAGCGCGATGGCGAAGCCCCCGCGGCCCATCTTCTTCTTCTTCCCGCGCGCCAGGCCCCGGCAGACCGCGCGCGTCTTGCAGCTGGGCGCCGCGCGTTCCGGGCGGCGGCGGTCGACGCAGTTCCAGCGGCGACCTGGCTTGCTGTTGCGTTTGAACTGCTCTATGGGAAAATCCGCTGTCGTCCTTAACTTTTCGCGGGGCGATCGCTGCAACTTCCAGCGCTTCCCGCGCCGGGGGGACTGGGCCCCCGTCGAAATCTTCGGAAGTTAATTCAATTGCGAAATGGGCTCTTTGCAGTTTGCTCCCTTCGTGCACTTCGGATTCCTGCAGGTCCTGCGCGCGCGGCAGCTCGGCTCCGTGCGCTGCGGGCGCCTGCGATAGCCGCGCCTCAGAACGCGGTCGCGGTCGCCGCGACGCCCCCTCTGTTCTTCAAGGAATTCTCCTCTCGTCCTGTCCGCCGCGCAAGCGGCGCAATGCAGCGCCTCCGTCGCATCTGGCCCCCCGGCCTCCTTGCTGTCTGCATGCTTGTTCTTGCGCGTCTCGCGCGGGAATGGCTGGGTCTCTGCCGGCATCGCCGGAACGCGCTAGGAATTCAGCTGGGAAGCGGGTGCTTTGCAGTTCTCGCCCGCCTCGCTCTCAGGATTTCTAAAGTTCCCGCGCGTCTGGCTGCCGGGCTCCGCGCGCTGCGGGTGCCGGCGGTCTGGGCGCCTAAGCGTGCGACCGCGTCAGCTGGCGTTGTTGCGCTGCTCTGGTGGGGAGCTCTGACTTCGTCCTGTTGGCCATGCAGAGGGCGCGCGACTGCCGCCCCACCCGCGGTTCTTCGTAGACGAGGCATGCCGCCCTGCGAACCTCGCATCGTCGGCGGCGCCGCATGGGCCCAGGGCACGGGGCCCGAGGCTTCTTCGAGCGGCAACCGCGGCGCGCCCAGACTTCCCCTTAGGCTTCGCGCCCAAGGCCAATGGTGCCGCACTTCTCCCTGCGACGCAGCCGCCCGGACTCTGAATGGCCAGACTGCGGGGGGGCATCTCTGCGCTTCTACCGCCAGCGGTGGTCCTCTGCGCCCGCGTCGACGGCGTCCTCTGCGCAAGCGGGGGCGTTGCGCAGACAGCGACATAAACAGTCGGGCCGCAGGATCCACTTGCCGCGCTCCGAATCCCAATTTCGGATCTGCGTTGCCTTGCGCGTGGAGCTGGGGGGGGCTTCCCCAATCCGTCTTGCCATTGCCTCCGCGCTGACGACATTCCCAGGTCGCGCCTCGACGAATTCGTTGCTTTGCCCTCCTTGGCGGCCTGCTCGCGCCGGTCGTCCAATTCGCCTAGAGAAGCTCGTCTGCGCCGAACGTTGAACAGAAGACTCGGCTAAGGCTGTGCGCCTATGGGGACAATCAACGGGCTGCATGTTTGCGCGGCCAGCAGGCCGTCCGCTTCTCGGGCGCGCGAAACAGCGACGTGGCATCTCCTGGCCGCAGCGCGCGACGGTGGGCTATGCGCGCCGCGCAGATCTGGGGCAGCTGCGAGAAACGTTTGCCACGACTCCAAATCGGCTGTGGAATGGGAAAGTCGGCGCCAGAGGGGGGCCTTTTCGCAGGGTCTCAATGGGACATTCTCTGTCCAAGTGCGAATCGTTCGTCACGGGCGTAATTGGAGACGCAGCGGCGCCCAGGCCATCAAACTGTTTCTTCATGGGCGTTTCCATCTCCACGAGTTAAATCTTCAGACGGTCCAGTAAGACGAAATTGCCACCATGGCGCCTGTCGCTCTGGCCAGGCTCCTGTCTATTAGCTCCCAACACCCCAGGGGGCACTTCGCGCCGTTGTGGACGCCGTGCTCTTTGAACTGGCTGCCACGGCTGTGCATGGGGTGGGGCGGCATGTCCACGCAGGCTAAAAGCAAATATCGGATGCTGCCGATCTTTCTGGAGGGGTACGACA